AATAATAGCAAATGAAGCAACAGACAAAGGATTAATCTCAAAAATATACAAGCAACTCCTCCAGCTCAACTCCAGAAAAATAAATGACCCAATCAAAAAATGGGCGAAAGAACTAAACAGACATTTCTCCAAGGAAGACATACGGATGGCAAAAAAACACATGAAAAGATGCTCAACATCACTCATTATTAGAGAAATGCAAATCAAAACCACAATGAGGTACCATCACATGCCAGTCAGGATGGCTGCTATCCAAAAGTCTACAAGCAATAAATGCTGGAGAGGGTGTGGAGAAAAGGGAACCCTCTTACACTGTTGGTGGGAATGCAAATTAGTACAGCCACTATGGAAAACAGTGTGGAGATTCCTTAAAAAGCTGGAAATAGAACTGCCATATGACCCAGCAATACCACTTCTAGGCATACACACTGAGGAAACCAGATCTGAAAGAGACACGTGCACCCCAATGTTCATCGCAGCACTGTTTATAATAGCCAGGACATGGAAGCAACCTAGATGCCCATCAGCAGATGAATGGATGAGGAAGCTGTGGTACATATACACCATGGAATATTACTCAGCCATTAAAAAGAATTCATTTGAATCAGTTCTAATGAGATGGATGAAACTGGAGCCCATTATACAGAGCGAAGTAAGCCAGAAAGATAAAGACCATTACAGTATACTAACACATATATATGGAATTTAGAAAGATGGTAATGATAACCCTATATGCAAAAAAAGAAAAAGAGACTCAGATGTATAGAACAGACTTGTGGACTCTGTGGGAGAAGGCGAGGGTGGGATGTTTCAAGAGAATAGCATCGAAACATGTATATTATCTAGGGTGAAACAGATCACCAGCCCAGGTTGGATGCATGAGACAAGTGCTCTGGCCTGGTGCACTGGGAAGACCCAGAGGGATGGGGCGGAGAGGGAGGTGGGAGGGGGGACCGGGATGGGGAATACATGTAAATCCATGGCTAATTCATTTCAATGTATGACAAAAACCACGGCAATGTTATAAAGTAATTAGCCTCCAACTAATAAAAATAAATGGAAAAAATAAATAAATAAATAAAAGCCCCAGTAGAGTAATTCCTAGGATTTACCTTACTATTTGGGAGTAATTTCCAGTGGTCATGTATGGATGTGAGAGTTGGACTATAAAGAAAGCTGAGCACTGCAGAATTGATGCTTTTGAACTGTGGTGTTGGAGAAGACCCTTGCGAGTCCCTTGGACTGCAAGGAGATCCAACCAGTCCATCCTAAAGGAGATCAGTCCTGGGTATTCATTGGAAGGACTGATGCTGAAGCTGAAACTCCAATACTTTGGCCACCTCATGTGAAGAGTTGACTCATTGGAAAAGACCCTGATGCTGGGAGGGATTGGGGGCAGGAGGAGAAGGGGACGACAGAGGATGAGATGACTGGATGGCATCACCGACTCGATGGGCATGAGTTTGCATAAACTCCGGGAGTTGGTGATGGACAGGGAGGCCTGGCGTGCTGCGATTCATGGGGTCGCAAAGAGTCAGACTGAACTGAACTGAGCAACTGAACTGAACTGAACTGAAGTGAACTGAATATCTACTCTATTAAGAAATGACCGAATAGAATTCTGATGCACCAAAGTATTCAGACTGCACATATCTTTCAATAAATATTAGACTGACAATGTTTGGTGTTTATTGTTTTTGTCCTGGTAGAAACAGCTCTACTTTTATTACCAGAAATACATTAGAATCTTTCTTCTAAGTTCACGATGCAGACTATCCATATAGCATCAGACATATGAGCATATAAAGTGCAAACAGACGTAACTAAATTTAAACACCAGATTCTATGCTTTGTGCTATGAAACCTTTAACACTTTCATAAGATTAACCTGATGCTACTAGATATATCATTGTATCATAATATGCTTGGAAGGTAATTTTTATATGTTATCTCAATGCAGTGCCTAAAGTTATAATCACTCAAAAATGTTAATATGGTTATTGTTATTCTTTTATTAACTTACAAAGATTCCTTAAGAACGCACAACATATTAAAGACTTTTTTCCCCAGAAAATACAGAAGCTTACATTTTAAACTGGGGTATAAAAAATACATACAAATTATTATGCTGCAAATAAAATGTGATGGTCAGGGAAGTACAATTCAGGTACTGTTAGCATTTAGAATGACTGTAATGTTGCCTTCATTAGTAGTATAGTGCATATATGTGTGTGTATATATATATATATATAATATAGTATTATATATGCTATGGGCTTCCCTTGTGGCTCAGCTGGTAAAGAATCTGCCTGCAGTGCGGGAGACCTGGGTTTGATTCCTGGGTTGGGAAGATCCCCTGGAGCTGGGAAAGGCAACCCACTCCAGTGTTCTGGGCTGGAGAACTCATGGACTGTATAGTCCATGGAAAAAGGGTCACAAAGAGTTGGACACAGCTGAGCGACTTTCACTTTTTCATGTATGTTATGCCAATAACATACATAATATAATATATGGCTGCTGAACATATATGCCAGGCCTCACCTAATACAGCACTCACCAAAAACTCCCATGTAGACATTACTATGATTGCCTTCTAAAAATAAGAAAGAAAAAAATAAACACATTTGAGAAGTTAAGTAACTTGGAAAAAGCACAGAGCAGAGGTATATGTGAGAATTCAAGCTATAGAAATATTAAATATTAATATTACACTTAAACTTCATGCTTTTCTGCTAAGAAGGGTGTCTGTATTCAGTACAGAATAGCTGATATATGGTCAAAAGTGGATCGCAATAAGGCTACTTGTCCCAAAATGTGCTCCACAGAAATCCCTTTCTTCAAGATGGTAATATTTTTTCAACTGTCCACATCTTTAGCAGCATTTGATGCTTTTGGTGTTCTGGACTTTGGCCATTCTGAAAAATGCACAGTGTTCTTTCATTGTTATTTTGATTTGCATTTTCATGATGACTTAAAAAGCGGGAGACTAACAATTTTAAATATTAATGGTTGTAATTTTTAAGAGATTATATCTAAGAAGGAGAGGGCTTTTCAGGGCTGGCTTCATAAGCATGAATGTGATGCTGTCACTCAGACCTTGTGCTTAGAAGGTTCTGCTCTGGGTTTAATACTCTGTCCTATAAAAAGTACTATACATTTTGATCAAAGGACTCAACATCTTTGCTTTTCCACTGGGATCTGCAAATTGCATAGCCAAAAATGATTTTTCACCCTTAAATCTCCAGGGAGGTTTTCCCATTTTATAAGCATAACTCACAGAAAAAAAACCCAGTTCCTTTTTTCTTAAAAGGAGATATCCCCTCCATATTAGGAGAGATAATCTGTCCCTATGACCTTTCACTTGGTTCTGAAGGATACACACTTAATTATCTCTGTCATTCCATAACAGGACACGCTGGCACTTCAAGTCAAACCACAGGAGCCCTCAATGCTAGATTTCAGACATCACGTGAAAAAATCATGTATCAGACATTTCCATGTCTTTGAAATCAATATACATTTTCACATGTTTTCTATTATATATGTATTCAAATTCATTTAGCTCAGAAAAAAGTATTCACAGAAAAACTACTACATAGGGAAATGATAATTCAAAGAAATTCTCTTTAGACTCAATTAATTTGATATTGTTTTCTCTGTAAAAGATATCCTTATAATTATTGTCATATCTCTGAATGAGTCATACTCAAATTTAAATCTGTGCTAGGTTATTCTTAGAGTGGAGTAGGTATCAGTCAGTTCAGCCTCTAATTTGAGCCTGAATGGAGATCTGTCCACTGGTGACCTGATCGTATACAGGAAGGAAGAAACATAAGATGTGTCCTGGGCTGAGCATCTGAAGCCAAAGAGTCAAGGCTTACTATAAACTTAAAAGTTGTTATTTTTACTTGAGTGAATTAAAACATGATTTTGTTAGTTTCCCTTATACTCTGCTATTCTTTTTGCATTAAAATTGTCACATGAAGATGATAGTCTGGGCAATGTGCCAATAAAGATGAAAACTGAGCTAAGTAAAGATGCTCATATAGATGTCTAGTGGTTAAGAGTCTGCCTAACAGTGCGGAGGATGCAGGTTCCATCCCTTGTCTGGGAATATCTCACATTCTGCCAAGCACTAAGCCCGTGAGCCACAACTACTGAGCCTTCATTCTAGAGCCTCAGGCTGAAACTGCTGAGCCCAGCCCCTAGGGCCTGCGCTCCGAAGCAAGAGCAGCCACAGTGGGAAGCCTGTGGACCACACTGAAGAGCAGCTCCTGCTCATCACACTAGAGAAAGCCTGCACGAGGCCATGAAGACCCAGAGGAGCCACAGAGAAATAAAGAAAGAGAAAGTTTCAAAAGGAGGTTCATATAATGATGTCTATTACCATTGAAAAGAGAATAAGACAAAAGCACTCCATATTAAGCCTAGAGCAAAGGATATTTGGGACAAATATTAAGTATTAAAATGAAATAGCTTCAAATAAAGAGTTGTCAGTTGTTTTTTTAATTCACATATCAAATGTTTATTTCTATTTAAAAACATACAGGTTAATATTTAAGAATGTATTATCAGACACCAAAACCATTGCTTCACGCTATACTATAAAACTAGACAAGTCCCATTTGTCTCTTGAACTCATTTTTCTGTCCACTCATGAGTTGTGTGAGTCGCATGTGGTTTGCATGGGTGAGATGCATGTAGGCATGTACTGAAATAAGAATATAAGCGTAAATATACATATGAATGTGGGTGGATATGGAAACAAATATGCAGTAAAAATTAAAAGAAATCTTGAAATATAAATTATAGGTTCATGGTTGATTCTCCCAAAGTTGCTATGGCTGAGAATTCATTTTGTCCACATGTTTGCTTCCTAGACTCAAAAAGAACCTGAGAAAGCACGTAAAAAATTTAGATAATTATTGACCTACCAAGTCAGTATTTTCCCTAGCTTGATTTCAGGTATATGAAACCACAGTACTGTTGTTTCTATATAATTAAGATATGAATCTTATAGAAGACTTTGCCTTCCCCACAGCCTGTGTTAATGCCCTCTTGACGTCTCTGTTCCTCAGGCGATAGATGGGCGGACTCAGCCTGGGCATGACCACGGCGTAGAACACAGACGCCATTTTGTCTGTGCGCATGGAATGGCGGGAGCCGGGCTGTAGGTACATGAAGGCGCCTGCCCCACAGAAGATGGAGACGGAAGTGGGGTGGGAAGCACAGGTGGAAAAGGCCTTCTGGCGTCCTTCAGATGAGCGCGCCCTCAGAATGGTGACAAAGATAAACAGATAGGAAGCCAGGATGACCAGGTTAGAAAAGACAACATTGAAGCCAACCAAAAGAAATAAAACGATCTCGCTTCTGTTGCTGTCTGAGCACGAGAGAGCCAGGAGAGGTGTAGCATCACAGAAAAAGTGATCAACCACATCGGATCTGCAGAAAGAGAGACTGAACGCGTTCCATGTATGCACAGAGGCCACGAGAAAACCAACGACGTAGCATCCTACGACCATCCGGGCACACACCCTTGGTGTCATGATGGTGGTGTAATGGAGTGGCTTACACACCGCTGCATGACGGTCATAGGCCATTGAGGACAAGAGAAAAGTGTCCACAGCAAGAAAGACAGCAAAGAAGAAAAACTGAGCGGCACAAGCACTGTAGGAAATGACCTTGTCTCCATCACTTTGGGAGTGACGGCTGTGGAGTAAGCGAAGTCCGCCAGAGCGAGGTGGCTGAGGACGAAGTACATGGGGGTGTGGAGACGAGCGTCCAGCAGGGTCAGCGTGAGCACCCCCAGGTTCCCAGCCAGGGTGAGGAGGCAGAGGAGCGTGAACACTAGAAAGAGTGGGATCTGCAGTTGTGGGTCATCAGTTATCCCGGCAAGAATGAACTCAGTCACGACTGTACTGTTCTCCATGGGGGTTATCTATGCATTATGAAAACGCACTGTGTCAATGAGAAAAGAGGATCTGAGCTGTAACTGTGCTTAGAAACATAATTATGTCCAAGGTATACCTTGTATCAGAATTTGCTCAATTTAACATGGACATAACAACAAAAGTTAATTTTTAAATAATGGTAGAAACACAGAATGTTCTAGCTTAAAGAACTTTGAAGATACTATAACCCAATCATCTATCCTCATAAATGATTGAATCTTAAGTTCAAAATTGTAAACAGACATTTACAAGATGATTGTAGAGATTTCTTAGAATGAGATTTGTTAGAGGACTTACCTGGAGATTCAGTGGTTAAGACTCTATGCTCCCAAAGCAAGGGCACAAGTTTGATCCCTGGTCAGGGAACTAAGATGCAACATGCCACGTAGTGTGGCCAAAAAATAAAAATAAATAAATGTTAAAATGAGTTTTTTTTAGCCTCCCAATTCATATTTTCAAAAACAAAGAAAATTCATGCAGTAAAATAGGTTACTATAATTTAATTCATTTCATTGCAATTACCACTATGGCATTAAGTTTACTGTTAGTTGCTCAGTCATGTTCGGCTCTTTGCTATGCCATGGACTTGCCTGCCAGGCTCCTCTGTCCACGGGATTCTTCAGGCAAGAATCCTGGAGTGAATCGCCATTCCCTTCTCCAGAGGATCTTCCTGGTCCAAGAATCGAACCCAGGTCTCCTGTGTAGCAGGCAGATTCTTTACCCTTTCAGCTACAAGGAAGACCATTATATCAAGAACAACATTATATTCTAGCAACACAAATTTTAATATATCATTTTCTAGGTTTCAGTAGTCTCAGTGGATAACAGGATACATAGAATGCATAATTCCCAGACAGGGGGATACTATAGAAATTCAGTCATCAGAGAGTAATTGTTTAAAGTGTGACTCCAGGCTAGGGACACTTGGATGTAAATTCTAACTCCACCTTGTACTAGATAACTGACTTTGGGTGTTACTCAATATCAGTTGGCCATCAGTTTTCCCTTGAACTCATTATCAAACGGAAGTGATAATGCAAACTGGCATTGTAGGCTTTCACACATTATAACTAAGACAGAGCTAATGGTGCATGTATAGATTACAGGAGCATATGTTGCAACTGAAGAATTCCAGATAACTGTGAAATTGAACATCCTATATGCTCACTCATTCATTTGCTTCTTTCCCCAAATCCTTTCAGTCTCATATTCTGTCCATATTTTCCTGAAATTTTTCAAAACATGGTCCTCTTTCATTCAAGTTGTGCACAGTCCAGCTATGCCAAGTAAGATTTGATTATTTTCGGAGTCATCTTGGGTACTAACTAGAGTGTGTGAGCCTCAATTTCTTAATGTGTCAAGTGAATATTACAATATCGCCTGGCGCTTAACAGGATTCAATCAATGTAAATATTCTTACTATTAGAAGATAGTGACAAAATGTATCTAGGGACAAAAAATGTAGGTGTCACAAGGAAAGATTCCATGTGAGAATGAAATCTGGATTACTATGCTTTCACCCATTTCATTATTGTTTGTATTCGTCTTATTAATCTATGCAGCAGTTAATGATGGCTTGAAGCAGGTTCTCAGTGAGAAATTACCCAATTCTGAGTGCATTTCAAAAGTAGAGCTTGCGGGGTTCCCTGATACATTGAATGTAGGTGTCAGAGAAAGAACAATAATGACTCCATTTTCTGTATATCCTATAGGGAATGGTATAGAAGCAGCAGATGTTTGACAAAGAACATGAAAGATGATTGCAGGGTAGGCATTGTGAACTTCAGATTCCTTCTGGTCATCTGACTTAGAAGGGCTGCATAAACAATTGAACTAGTTGCATCAGATTTTAATTCCAACTATATTGGCAATTTGGTATTGATTTAACCCTCTCACGTCATATTGAATCAAAAAATCTAAGTAAGATCACTTAAGGAAAGAGCTTGGAGAAAAAAAAAATCAAAGTATAAAAATATTACAAATTCAAAATCATGGAACAATACAGCATTAAGAGGAAAGTGGGTAAGAAAATTTTCACCACTGAGATTGTTGCTAGGGAAGCCTTGTCTCAGAACACAGATTTCAGCTGGACAAGTAGTTAATGTAAAGTTAAGGTTATATTAGGAGAAGGAGGCAAAGTTACTGTATATCAGGTTATGTTGATGACGGACTGTAGATTCCAGAAGGAAGAGTGGAATGATTTAAGGAGTTGGGCAGGAGGGGCTGCTGGGCTTAATAAGAGAGATATGAAGAGATGTGGACATTATTTAACAGGGTTTGAGGGCTTTCCTGAGATTCCTGAGCTTCATGGTGAGTGATGCAGCAATAAACTGAATCATGAGATTAGTCCTTAAGTCTCAACATAGAGGGCAAAACCCAGGCTCTGAGGTTGTGGGGTGGGAAGGGAGGGTGGAGGTCTTGACAGAAGCCTGCAGCTCCCCACCCACCCCCGTACTCCTGTTATTGGTGGTGAGAGGGTAACAGGCAGAAAGGCCAGGGGTCTCCAAACAGAGGAAATAGGCTGCAAGCATCAGACATTTTTTATCTCTCCCTTAAGCGGCAGGAAGAAACTAACTACAAGCATCAGATCTTTTTTCTCTTAAAATTCTGTGTTACCATGATGACACCTGTTTCCTCCTGAACTTAACTTTTCTCAAACCTTGAGCTAACCAAGGCATTTTTCTTATAGAAATGTTTTTCATAAGCTATGTTAATGAAACTATGTATTTGCTTTGGAATCTGCCTTTCTTCAAAATGGTTCCACCTATGACTAACTTCTTTTCTCAAACTTTGGGCTGACAATAGCTCAACAAACCAGCATTCATATCAATTGTTTTATGGCTGGGGGATGACACGCCTCATGCCATCCTCTCTCAAAAATGCATATTACGGGAGAGGGGCCTGGTGAAACCCCGTCAGCCTTGCGGTGTCTCTCTGATCTGATGAGGAGCTTTCTAACAGACATAAAGCATCCAGCTGAAGACTAGCAGGGGGCACTCTTCCTGCCCCCTTCTGATGTCTAGGTCAGGGGCTTTCTCTATCTCTTTTACACTTAAAAAAAAAACTTTACTACACAAAACTCTGAGCTGTCAAGCCTCCTCACTGGCCCCGGGTTGAATTCGCCTCCTACGGAGACCAAGAATCCGGGCATCTTTCACAGCTCAACAGCAACCTTTCAACGGTGGGGAGAGCACTGGGAGGCTTATTATCCAGAGAAGACATGCCCTTGGTCCTCGCTTACCTTAATCAATGCTCTTATTAGATGTCCCTAAATCTGGGGAGGGAGATATACTGAAACTCATTTTATAACCCTCTTTCTTCTCAACAAAGTGGAGGAGTGATTCTTAACCCAGCATTTTCCTACAAGGGGGAGAAAAAGCTAGTTTCAGGTACATTGTTGCAATAAAAGCAATCTAATGGTCAGAATAAGAATTATAAAAAGTCTTCAAATTATTGATGGGCATCTTTACCTTGTTTCTTTGAAGTTTTTCATGGATTGCACCACTTAAAATAACTAGTATCCAGGAGATACTTAAAAAGTGCAGTCTTCCTGACAAGATGCTCTATGTCCTTGATAAAATTCAAATTTATTCTTCAAAGAATAATGCGAGTTTTAAAACTTATGCAAAGTCTTGAGCAACTTCTCCTCTCTAGATGCCATCTTCCTGTTATAACCTATCAAGCACCGTTAATGACTCATAACTCATTTGTTACTCATGATCATTTGTTTTATCTTAATTTAAGCTTCCTGTGAGCTTTCCAGGTGTCTCAGTGGTTACAAAAAAAAAAAAAAAAAAAAAACCCTGCATTACAGAAGAGATGAGCTTGATCCCTGGGTCAGGAAGATCCCCTGGAGAAGTGAATGGCAACCCACCCAGTATTCTACCCTGGAAAATCCATGGACAGAGGAGCCTGGCAGGCTACAGTTCACTGGGTCTCAAAGAGTTAGACATGACTGAATGACTAAACAACAACAATGTGAGATATTATTATTCTTTATTCCCATGCAGAGAGCATTATTTTTGTCCCTAATTTTGTTTATTGTTCAGTCATTAAGTCGTACATTTGTCCCTAATAGTTAATCATTATTCTGGGTGCCTAATGCCAGTAAAATTTCAGAATGATAACTGGAGTCCAGGTTTCCTTATTCCCATGAACTGTTCTTTCTAGTGTGATATGTATACCTCTTCTTCCAATATACTTTTATAATTGCTTTATAAGCATGAATCCTCCTCATTCCTATCTATTTCTTCTCTTTTTTAATGTTGTCATGTTTTCTCCAGATTACAGTGAATTTTCAAATTGAGATCAAATTTCATACTCGTAAATACCTTGGGATTAGATGAAATAGCTAGTATTTCCATATTCTAAAAGAGAAAACTCAAATTGAGATAGTCTGACAACTTGTCCCAGTGATACAAAGTCCTACATGGCATAGGAACCTAAGACCCTCTTGTTCCTTTCATTTTTTTTTTAGATAAATACATATTCTCCTTAAAAAGTCCATGATTCATGTACCATATTATCTTGTTTAAAGTGACAGACACAAAATGACATTTTCAAAAAGTTCAATATTGACTTAAGCATAAATCAAAGGGAGAGAGGTGCATTGATGTATCTTCCTAGAAAAATCTGACCCTGCAAATTTATACAGACTGTAGACTGATCAGAGGCTTACCTTCTCCCTGAAAAATGCAACAGGCAAATGCAATACAT